TACGCCAATATATATGTATGTATATTATCAAGAATAGATGCCTGTGGGTGTCTTCTTCTTTTGGGCCTATATATAATTGTACATGAATATAATTCCTTCTATCCCTAGATTAAACAGAATTCATGATTTATTTAGGTTTTCCTCATGTATACCAACTGCTTAATTGAGTTTGCCTTTTAGTTGTAGTTGTTACGCTTTCAAAATTCCAAAATGCCAAACAATAAACCCCACACCTGCTCGCGATTTCTTTAGCAGTTATTTTCGCAGAAATTTATTACTGAAAGGATTCTAACATGTATTTGTAGCCAAAAATTTTTGATGAATATTTTCGTTAGTACATTAAATGCAAGTGAGACGACTACGCATATCTAACACAAAGTTTAAAATATTTACCACTACAATTAATTTAAAGTATAGTTTTAACGAAAGAAGTCAGCACAACTATACACGTACTTATATACATGTGGAATATAAACAAATAGAGAGAGAGAAAGTGAAATAAAGTAAAATTAATTCGCTATTGGCTGGCAAATCCGCCTATCAGATATCCTACTCCGTTGCTGTATAAACTTTAGATTTTAATAAAAACAAGGACCTTAGGTCGCACAAAAACATTACTTTTTTGGGAAATATTGGAAAATAGACTTTATTCTCATGTAAGGACTTGCTTTCTAACCTTGCTTTCAACCCATTTCTGCAAACCTCGTCTTTGAGTCAAAGCACATCAGGGCAACCAAAATATCTCTAAAATTGCGATTTTGCTCGATGCCAAGGCAGGTGGGAAGATAGGGAAGAGAAAGAGCAGACTTAAATCGTTTCAGAAATGTAATTTAGTGAAGGTTACAATGAAATCAAGGAGAGATTAATTATGGTGAGCGAATTGCTTTCACTTCAAACTCGAGGCGGTCGCTTGTAATGAAAGAATGCAAACCATGAATAAGTTGTTGGAAAAGTTCGAAATTATTTTGAGCTTTACTTGAGCTCTATTTAATCTTTTCACGTACTAATCCGAACACACTCGAAACTAGTGACATTCCGTAACCATTCCATGGCCATCAAACCTCAAACGATTAAAGCAAAAATTAAAGCTTTTCTAATGGACGATAAACTAAGCCGACGATTATTATTATACTTCAACTACTAATACTTCTGTTAAATTGCAATCTTTGTAAACATGTAAATGGCAATAAGAAAGAGACAGGTAGACTAACGTAATAATTGATCTAGTTTTTGCCGTAATCTACATACTTGCATTGGCTTTGTTGCACATAAAATTATGAAAGAGGTGCCTTCCAGCTTTGTAGGTAAAGAAGTTTTTAAGCAAAGTATTAGACATCGCCCATGAGAACACGGAAGCTAGCGAATACAATAGTTAAAAGAATAAATAACACAGAAAGAGAAAAATTCTGTTAATTTTTGTATACCTGGGTTCTCTTCGTCGTAAAGATATCCTCCTTCGGCATATAAAAGAAAGAAAGAGATATGTAAAACTTACTCTTGCTGCAGCGATTATTTAAACAATAATAGCTTGGCAGATAACGCTAGCATTCTAAGTCTACCTGCGCGTTTCGACAGACGTAGGCTTAAGAGACAAGAAATCCTTAGTCAACAATTGAAAAATAAAAAAATAAAAGGTGGCGCTGAAGCTGCAATAGGTACAAACAACTGCAATTACAACGAGAGAAATTCAATTGCAACATCGTACAGAAACACTTTTGAAGTAATTGCAGCAAAGTGTAACGTTTCCTAAGGCTAAACTGAGCTTGCGAATCGATCGAAAAGTCTTTACCACAAAATGAGTTTCGACAGATCTATTGAAATGGACTTCGCTACTATAGAGATGAAGCTGAAAGTTTTGAATATCTGGCAGGCTATTAAAAAGCGAGCTTGCCAAAAACTACAAAACGAGCAGGAAGGAATTGCGAGACTTATGCGAAAAACAAACGGTTTACGAGAGAGATTACGTCTAAGAGACGTAAAGATCAACGAACAAGATTTTGAGAAGTTCTGCCAAGAGAAGTTGGCCAAAATGCCACCGCTGCGTCGAGCCTATGGGCTATTTCAAGTTCATCAAGAAGATCAATTAGAAAAAGAATTGAGTTTCGTTGAACAAAATATACTTCCGACCGAAAGTACAAATCAGCGATTTCTCGAAAATGGGACTTCCAAGGAGCCAATAATGTTGCCAGAATCTTTCGTAGCTGATGAGAAAGGCATGGTCCTAATCGGACCGAATGGTACGAAAATATCGAAGGAGAGATTATCTCTGATCAACTGGGGTTCAAACGGTCCGACCATAACGCGGAAGCTACTGATGGAAGTATTCGATAGAAATACGTTGGCTTTTGGAAGCCTTACCGGCAAACCTTCGCCGGCTTTTACCGACATCGCTAAGCCAACGAAAAACCAACTAGATCCGTTAAAAGTAGCGGACATTGTACATTTCATGACAGAGTACACGGAGATGACAGCAAAGGAAGTCAAAGGTGCCGTCACAACGAAATGCGCTGATGAGAATAAAATGTATCGTCAACGGCAAAAGAAGCGTATGGAGATAGCTTTAAAGATCAAAACCAAAAAGCTTAGAAATTTTTAAGAAATCTATTTATTACCCTTATTTTAACATTCGGATCAAATTTCGATTTTCCGAAGTTACAACAATGTAAATAATAATGTAAATTAATGTTAATAACGACGACAGTTAATAAACAACAAAAAATTGAAAATTCTATGCCGTTCTTCTTACTCGTTTCGTTTGCCGTCAAACACAAAAAAATAATAAGAAAAAATGACTTAATTCTGATATAATTGTTGTCTTGTACTCACCTCTTAATGTCTGAAGCGAAACGTAGTTGCATATGTTGAGAGTTTGCATTAGGATTTCGCAAAGAAGTTTTTAGTACGATTGATGGATTATTGTTATGAAGTAAGATTTCATACTGATCTTTGAAAATATTGGTCCTCGCAGTGTCACTAATTTTTCACTTAGTGCAAGGTATGAAGCAATTTCAAAAGGACACATCATCATTTCAAATTGTGCAAAACATAATAAGAACCTATTGACAAACTACTGATTCAAATATCTGAGAAGAATGGAAGGCGATCAGAGTGACAGCTGGCATGACTACAACTTTTCTTCTCTCCTTATTATTGTTTGCTGAGTACTCGAACTCTTGTCTTTCGTTTCTAAAATTCTCTGTCATTTCCATTGAATTCGTTTAACAGATTTTCTACAGAAATTTCCTTTCAGTAATTTTG